TTCTTGCAAAAAGATGTAGAAATGTCCAATAAGTTCACGAAAAGCTCAACATCAGTAATCACTGGGGAAGCGTACAAATCAAAACCACAATGAGATACCACTTTATAAACCTATTAAGGTGGCTATTATCAAAAAAGTAGAACAAGTGTTGACAAGGACATAGAGAAACTGGAACTCAGGTACACAGTTGGTGGGAATGTAAAATGGTACAGCAGTATGGTGATTTCTGAAAAAAAAAAAAAACCAATTGCCATATATAATCCAGCAAACCCATTTCTGGGTATACACCCCAAAGAATTCAAAGCAGGAACTTCTATAGATACTCGTACACCTGTGTTTACAGCCCTATTATTCAAAATAGCCAAAAGGTAGAGACAACCAAGGTGTTCATCAATGGATGAATGGGTAAACAAAATTTAGTATATGCATACGATTGAATATTATTCAACTTTAAGAACAAATTCTGACACATGCTATGATATAGATGAACCTTAAGGACATGATAAGTGAAATAAGCCAGTCATACGTAGGACAAATATTGTATGACTCCACTTACACTAAGTACCTAGAATAGTCAAAAGCATAAAGAAAGTAAAATGATGGTTCCCAGGGGCTTAAGGAAGAGCAGAATGGGGAGTCAGTGTTTAATAGGTACAGTTTGTGTTGGAGGAAGATGAAAAATTCTGGTGACAGATGGTGGTAATGGTTGCACAGCAATGTGAATGCACTTAATGCCACATAAATGTACGCTTAAAAATGGTTAAAACAGCAGGTTTTATGTATATTTTACTAGTTTTTTAAAAAACTGCTTCCCAGAAGAATTCAGAAATTACAATTATGTGTGTATATTTCAGTTACTACACATGCATATATCTCTGTTCACTGAGAGGGCCTAGCAGCAGACATGCCAGCAGCAACGGGTACATCCAATGCCCAGATCTTGTTTTCTAATACCATTCTCCAAGAAAAGCAATCAGGGCTCCCTAGAGAAATGGCTGATTCTCCATCGAGGGTATCTTGTAGTGCCAGAAAGTAAAGAAGTGTTCCACAAACAAGGATGTAGGTATGTGAAAGGGGCACGGGAGCCAACTGATAGAATGCCCAAGGGCCAAAGATGAAACAAATCTCAGCAACAAAGTAAATAATGCAGTTTAGGATTATAACCCAAAGGATAAAGTAAGTACCCATCAGTCCATATTGATATAAATGACCTGATGAAGGAGCAGTAGCATCTCTCCTATACAGAAAAAGCCCAAATAATTATGTAGATACCGCCTCCCCCACTTCAAGGAGATGGAGCTTAACTCCCCACCTTTCGAGTACGGATTGTGCTTAGTCACTTGCTTTGAGTACAGTATGTAAAGAGGAAAAAAAAATTGTATAGTAACCTGGCAAACACTATCTTGGCCAGGTGATCAACATTTGTATTAATATCATGAGTGATAAGCCCTATTAATAACAGGTACCCTTGATGTGATGAAAATGCCCCTTTTTGGTCTTCCTCCTAAGACCAGAAGGAAAACAATCAGAAAACTTCACAGACATTCTACAAAACCAACTAGTACTCCTTAACGCTGTCATGGTCATCAAAACCAAGTGTGAGATCCTTCTGTAGTTCATAAGCATGATGGCTGGGCTTTCACACTTCTGTGTTAGATGTGCCTCCTTCACACCTTGTTACATCAGGACATTACCCATCTGATGTGAAAAAAAAAAGGTTGGGAATCTGAAGTCATTAAAAACAAAACTATCTGAGGTGGTTAAATGAATGTAATTGTGGGATCCTGGAATGAAAAGAATATTTGGAAAAAAACTAAAGATCTGAACTGTGCGATTTAGTTAACAGTAAAGTATCAAAGTTGGTTGCTTAGTTGTGACAAATATCCTGTAGTAATGCAGGATACTCACAATAGGTATACAGGAGGGTGAGGTGTATACAGGGACTCTGTACTGTTTTTGCAATGTCTCTGCGTATCTAAAACTTTTTTTTTTTTTTTTTGAGATGGAGTATCACTCTGTCGCCCAGGGTGAAGTGCAATGGCACGATCTCAGCTCACTGCAACCTCTGCCTCCTGGGTTCAAGCAATTCTCCTGCCTCAGCCTCCTTAGTAGCTGGGATTACAGGCACGCACAACCATGCCTGGCTAATTTTTTGTATTTTTAGCAGAGATGGGGTGTCACCATGTTGGTCAGGGTGGTCTCGAACTCCTGACCCCATGATCCACCAGACTCGGCCTCTGGAAGTGCTGGGATTACAGGCATGAGCCACCACACCCAGTGACCGAAAACTACTCTAAAATAAAGTTTATATATTAAAAAATCGTGCTTTCATACTCAAAGTCTAACCCAATAGAACCTGACCGAACTCATCCCTAAATGCAGTTTCAGTTCTTATTTATTTCCAAATAGACTCCAAGTTTTGCAAGGTTGATAAGCAGATCGGAACTATGAGAAAGTCTTTAGTTCATTCACTATTTGTAAGTCAAGTTATAAAAACATATAATGAAACTCTTAAAGGAGATTTAACCATTCTGTGAAAGAAGGCTCTCCATTACAGTCTCATTTCAGTTTTGTTCACCAAAAAATGAGGGCTCTTTTAAAATAATTATATTTCAGTAGTTTAATGGTCCTGTTTTGATTTACAGCAAAACTTCTTTCAAATTAACTTAGCCTAATGTATTACCCAAAATGTTATACCAAGTCAAATCTTAATAATTCTTAGACAATAGCTGGTTTGGGAACTATCATTGATGACTGAGGTCTCCCATGCTAAGAACAGGTTAACTTTTTATTTATTTATTTATTTATTTATTTTTTGAGATGGAGTCGCACTCTATCGCCCAGGCTGGAGTGCAGTGGCATGATTTCGGCTCACTGTAAGCTCCGCCTCCCAGGTTCACGCCATTCTCCTACCTCAGCCTCCTAGTAGCTGGGACTACAGGTGCCCGCCACCACATCCGGCAAATTTTTTGTATTTTTAGAAGAGACGGGGTTTCACCGTGTTAGCCAGGATGATCTTGATCTCCTGACCTCGTGATCCACCCGCCTCAGCCTCCCAAAGTGCTGGGATTACAGGCGTGAGCCACCGCACCCGGCCGAGAACGGGTTAATTTTGATGTTAACACACTACTATGGTATAAAGATTCTTGTAAGCATGTCAGTCAATATACCAAATCAGAAACCACGTATCTGACAAGCATAATTTCTACACCTAGAATAAGTGGCACAAACTTTAGTCAGTGAATTATCTTGAAATGTAAAATTAATTTAAAAATAGAACCAATAGGCCAGGCACAGTGGCTCACACCTGTAATCCCAGCACTTTCGTAGGCCGCGGCAGGCAGATCACTTGAGGCCAGGAGTTCAAGACCAGTCAATGTAGTGAAACCCCATCTCTACTAAAAGTACAAAAATTGGCTTGGTGTGGTGGTGCATACCTGTAATCCCAGCTACTCGGGAGGCTGAGGCAGGAGAATCGATTGAACCCAAGAGGCGGAGGTTGCAGTGAGCCAAGATTATTGTACCACTACACTCCAACCTGGGCGACAGAGTGAGACCCTGTCTTAAAAAAAAAAAAAAAAAAAAGAACAAGCAAGTGGTTGTAAGCATCACTGAGGATATCAGATCCCTAAGACTTAATAATTAAGCATGGTAAAGAAGAGGTAACTCAGGCTTCCAAAGCGAAAGGGCAAGGGCAAGTAGAGTGAAAAAGCTGTACAAGTCTCCAGAAAGCAGTAATGACTTAGCATTCTGGATGCTGCTTTATGGCACAGAAGTATCATTATGGAGTGTGCTGGTGGAAGGTAAAGTTAAGAAAAGAATAAGTATCATTCATATTCAATTACAACATCTATCACAAATACTACGTTCTTCTAGCATAACATTGCTTGTATTCCGCAATTTATTTTTGTCTTGCTGTCACCCAGGCTGGAGTGCAGTGATCCCGGCTCACTGCAACCTCTGCCTCCCTGGTTCAAGCAATTCTCCTGCCTCAGCCTCCCAAGTAGCTGGGATTATAGGCATGTACTACCACACCCGGCTAATTTTTGTATTTTTAGTACAGACGGGGTTTTACCATGTTGGCCAGGCTAGTCTCCGACTCCTGGTCTCAGGTAATTCACCCACCTCGGCCTCCCAAAGTGCTGGGATTACAGGAGTGAGCCACCGAGTCTGGCCACAACCAGGTATGTTTTCAAATCACAGTCTTTGAATAAACTTGTTAAGTTTTGCCTGTGGGCTTCAAATTAAGATTCTTAAACTACCTTGGTGATCCTTGTGACCTTCAATGAGTCCATTCATATTCTAGAGTCTACCTTGGTTATACACCTTCATGCTTTATCCCCAAGTGCTTTCAGAACCATTTCACTGAGATGTTCCTAACATTGACATAAAACCTTGAAACTATAAAAGGGGAGATTTAAGAATTCAGTCATGTAAAAATAGCTTCTGCCATGATGAGCAAACAAAGGACAAACTGGGGGGGAAAAGGTATTTAAAGCTCACTATAGGAACAAAGTACTCCTGCAGATTAGTTAAGACCAAAGCCAATAGAAAAGCGGTTGATAAACATCACACAGAGGCAATCAGCCAAATTCAGATTATGGAAACCTACAGGTTAATCTTATTTCTTCAGCAAATAAGAAACAAAAACAAATAAATGAATGGCAAATCATCCTGAATAAGAGAAGAAACAGACACTTCAACTTTACTAAAGATATCCAAATGGCTAGTAAGCTTATGAAAAAGTACTATTCATTGTCAGGGAGAGCAAATTAAAACCAGAAGATACCACTACACACACAATGGCTAAAATTATAGACTGACAACAGCAAATGATAAGGATGTGGACCTACTAGAACTCTGGGAATGTAAAACAGGATGATCATTTAGGAAAAAGTTTGTCATCTTCTAGTAAAATTTAAAATACATCAACTTAGGATATTCCCACTCCTAAGTACTTATCCAAATTAAATTAAATTAAAATGTAGGTTCACAAAAACGTTGTACATGTTCATACCAACTTTATTCATGATAGTCCCAAACTAGAAACAGCTCATTGTTCACCAGTTGTTCACCTAACAGGTGAAACATTAAAATGTGGCATATTCATACATAGAATACTGCTCAGCCATAAAAAGGAACAAAGCTTAAACACACTGATGAATATACAAACATGCTGAGTAAAAGGAACTTACAGAATACATACTGCATAAGTGAGTCCATTATATGAAGTTCTAGAATAGGCAAAATTAATCTACAGTGAACAAAATCTTAACAGTAGCTGACTGCCAGGCGAGGGAAGAAAGGGCAGGAGAGGTGCAGGAATTGACTAGGTGAAAAAAAAATTCAGATGTAATACAAATGTTCCAAACTTAGGGGTTTGAGTTACATGCTTTTACATCAAAACTCATCAAATGAGTCTGGGTATGGTGGCTCACACCTGTAATCCCAGCACTCTGGGAGGCCTACATGGGTAGATCACTCAATGTCAGGAGTTTGATATCAGCCTGGCCAACATGGCAAAACCCCATCTCTAATAAAAACACAAAAATTAGCTAGGCATGGTGACAGGCACCTGTAATCCCAGCTACTCAGGAGGCTGAGGCGGAAGAATCCTTTGAACCCAGGAGGCAGAGGTTGCAGTGAGCCAAGACTAGGCCACTGTACTCTAGCCTGGACGATATAAGGCTCCATCCCAAAAAAAAAAAAAAAAAAAAAACTCATCAAATGATACACTTAGCATTTATTCATCTTACTGCAAATCTCCCTCAAAAAAACTCCAATGACGGCTGGTGTGGTGGCTGATGCCTGTGATCCCAGCACTCTGGGAGGCTGAGGCAGGCAAATCACTGGAGGCCAGGAGTTCCAGACGAGCCTGGCCAACATGGTGAAACCCCATCTCTACTGAAAATACAAAAATTAGCCGGGCGTGGTGGTGCACGTCTGTAACCCCAGCTACTCGGGAATCTGCGGCACGAGAATTGCTTGAAACTGGGAGGTGGAGATTGTAATAAGCTGAGATCATGTCACTGTACTCCAGCCTGGGTGACAGAGAGACTCTGTCTCAAACACAAAAAACAAAAACAAAAACAAACTCCCATGACATGTATGCTGAAAGGATTAAAAGTGAAAAATGTCTACAACTTACTTGGACACGCATATAGAAGAAAAGATGAGACTGCAGGAGGCAGGCTATGTGATAAAGCATGGCAAATGCTACTTGTAGAATCTAAGGGATGGGCATTGGCATCACCAGGATTTTATATACCGACAGAAAATCATCTTTAGGGTATTTAGGTGGGAAAAAAGCCAAAATATAAAATAGCACATATAGTATAATTTACATTTTAAAAAGAAATGAAAACATCCATTAACACTTGCTTATAAATAAAGTAAAAGTCACAGGAAGCTTACACTAGAAACTGATGACAGGGCTGTGCGAGAATAGAAACTAAACAGCTGAATTACAGGACGGGAAGGAGAATCTTCACTACATACCCTTTGTATCTCTTCAAGTTTATTGCCTTCAAAAAATAAAATATAAACAACTTTAAAATGAGCCTATTTTTCTGAGACAGGGTCTCACTCTGTCACTCAGGCGGGAGTGCAGCAACGCAGTCACGGCTCACTGCAGCCTTGACCTCCCAGGCTCAAGCAGTCCTCCCACTTCAGCCTCACAAAGTGCCGGAATTACAGGTGTGAGCCACCACACCTAGCCTATTCTTGGTTTTCATATCATCAGGCTTAAGACAGATTAAACCTTCCTTCCTATACTTCCTTTCTAAAAATAAGAAAACCACTCCAACTAAAAAACTGGGCAAAAAACCCAGACACCTCACCAAAGATGATATATACGGATGGCAGGTTAAGTATATGAAAAGATGTTCCACATCACTATGGGATTGGGAATTAAAACAATGAGACCACTATTCACCTATTAGCTAAAATGCGAAAGAGTGACATCACCAAATACTAGTGAGGATGAGGAGCTACAGAACTCTCCTTCATTGTCAATGGGAATTCAAAATGGTCATGTTGGAAGAGAGTTTGGCAGTTTCTTCCAAAACGAAACATACTCTTAACTTACAATCCAGCAACCTGGTTCCTTGGTATTTATCCAAAGGAGTTGAAAACAAGTCTACACAAAACCCTGCACACAAATGTTTATAGTAGATTTATTCCCTTCCTACAAACTTCAGAGATTCTCTTCTAATTTGCTGGACTTGGGGGATGGGAGGGTAATGTATTTCTAACGCGTTAGAGCAACTTGGACTGGAACTCTACTGCTGATATATATATACACTATTCTCCTCCATACACATGTCCTACCAATTCAATGTGAGTGCCTTCACATAATTTAGGGAAAGTCTCAGAACAATGGAGTTTTTTTGTGTTTTGGTTTTTTTGGTTTTGTTTTTGAGACAGAGTCTCGTTCTGTTGCCCAGGATCCAGGATGGAGTGCAATGGCACGATCTTGGCTGGCTACAACCTCTGCCTCCCAAGTAACTGGGATTACAGGCGTGTGCCACACGTGGCTAATTTTTGTATTTTCAGTAGAGGCAGTTTCACCAAGTTGGCCAGGCTATCTTGAATTCCTGACCTCAAGTGACCCACCATGGAGTGTTTTAAATTCTAAAACAAACAAGATGTAACACCAAAAAATAAATTTCCAAATGAGAACTGAATAAGGGCTGTTTAGGGCAGAGGACATTAACAAGGCATGTTGATTAATAAGCAGATTCATGGCACACGATGTTGCCTTCCAAGTGGGTTCCTTATGCTTCCCCCTTCACATAACACAGAAGTAGTGAGAATTTGGAGCCTTCCTCCCAGGGAAGATTCGGTCCCCCTTCCCACGTGACAGAAGCTTCAGTTACCCACGCATAAAGGGACACACACTCTATTTCTGCTTCACAGTCTGGTGTCAATATTTAGATAAGACCACAATATTCAGCAATGAGCTCCTTTGTATTTACATACTGCTTCTGAGAGTTCTCCCTTGCAGCTCCTTAAGCAGCAGCTAGGCTAAAGCAGGATATGAGCACCCTGATCATATACCCCACTCCCACTATTCTTCCTGATAGCTTTACCACAAAGGAAGCTATAGACACAAGGAATCCAAACAGAAGAGGGAAATTCACCATCAATGCTTCCTTCAAAAGCAAACAGTGATGCAAAACACAGTCTTCTCAAATGTGGGGAGACAGTACTGTCTTCCACTTGCACGGAAGTAAGATTACTTTTACTCTATTATGTGCTTCTCTTCCTTTCCCATAACTACATTCACCTCAGCAATCACTTACGTACTAGCCTACACTATGAACAAACACAAAACGGAGCATTCAAATACATAAGATGACTTCCCAATAATAGCCACCTCTTGTACAGAAAACTCAGCCTGTAGTGTGGCAAGAAGATACACCCGTTCAACCTTACCCATCATATAGCATTTTAGTGCTTTGCTTGCATTCTTTTCCCACAGATGTGCAAATAAAACTCATTAGCTTAAACCAATTGCAAATGAATTCCTCACTACCCCAATCACAGTAGACCCCACAGATCTTTTCCACAGCAAATTAGATACCAAATGTGAAAGAGAAACAAAGATCACGTTCTAACAGTTCGTACAACTACGGACGCCAGTTCTCAAGGCTTGGCATATTCAACCATATATGAAAACGCATTTCCATCTAAGTAGTACTACTGACAATGTTAAGCTGGTTAAGTCACGTTCACAGGATTTAAAAGAACACACATGAAAATTAACCCTTACTACTTATATTAATATACCAGGACTTGAGGTAATAATATATTCATAGTTGACTCACACACTCCAATAATACTCTTAGGTAATCTTCAGCCTGAAACAAGTCTTCATTTATTGACTACTTACAGTACAGTGATTTTGCATCTTAGCTGGTAATCAAAGACGGTTCTGTATTAAGAGAAGACATAATCTCTCTTCCAGATATCACCTGTCAGAAATCTGGGCAAATTTAATTTTAAGAACTAGAATTGCATCTCCTGGTGGCAGTCGTCACCCTGAGAACAGGAACAAGGCAAAGAAACTGTACAGGATTTTGATTCTCCTACACAGGTGCACATAGTTTATTAACGACTATATTTTGAAGCCAGCCATTTTGTCCAATATTTAAATTACAAGCTGTTTTAATATTAAAGCAGAATGTACCGCCACATTGTGACAAAAGTACAGCTTTATCCATAAACCCTTCACACAATTATACATTAAATGCTATTATTTAAGCAAGGCACCCCTACTTGTTCTAAAATATGGGATGTACTACTCCATTAAAAAAGCAAATGAGGAGACTGGTTTTTTTCCTATCTAAAGCTGGTTTAAATTCAAGTGAAGCCATTAATTTTCTTACCAGTCTGGACTGTTCTGACATGTCACTTCACAGTTTTGAGACTAACAAACACCCTTAGGTTTACCCCAAACCAAAAAACGCCAGGGCGGGACAGTTCAGACAACTTTGAAGACTAGAATGCCCCCTAAGTGGATAGGCACCAACGTTAAATGCCTTTAGCACAAGGCTTAGAAAGGCAAAACATTTCTAAAGACATAAAACCACCAAATTGTCATTTACACTCACTAAGTTGTGGTATTTATTTTTTCTTTTGATTTTTTAAAATTCCTATCTCTAAGTAATCAAATACAGCAAAATTTAAAACCATTCTGCCAAACCATACCAGTTCAAAGGTCTGAAACCCTTCTTTGCTTTGGTGAATGTTTGGTTACAATAAATCACTGTTTTATCCCATGAGAAGTTTTACATCAGAGCACTCAATTCACAGGCAAAAAAAAAAAAAAAAAAAGTTACTTTTTAAATGAAAGCGTTTAAAGAACACTGCTGAATATGTAGTCTTTACAATGGGTAACATATCATCTATGAAAACAAACCATTTAATCATATAAAACAAAGACCATATTTTTAAATCAGATTCTGGACAGTTTAAACAAAAATTTTAATTTGTGGTTTATTTCATAATCCCAAACTGGATCTTTCATTTCTTCTTCTAAGCAGTCCACTATGAAACTTTTCTTAGAAGCAATTAACCCAAAACACCAAAATCATTTCCCTAGCAGTTGCTGCTAATAAACCGGAACTGTATATCCCACGTCCAAGAAAGATGTGCAAATGAAATGCTTCTTGCTTCACCCTAAAAATAAAACAAAAAATGTTGCACATTTAGTCAAGATGAAAAAGGACAGCACACATTCCCATACCATTTAAAACTGCAAATTCAAATTTTTCTCCTTTCTAATTTAGTGCAAGTTATCTGATAAACCAAGTTAAAGTGAGGAAAACTAGTTAGGCATTAGTGTTTACAGGCTGGTGTAAAAAACACAGTTTCAGAATATATTTTAAATAGATTTTAGCTATTATAAGTATTTAACATCACAGAATTGTGGGACTTCATATCCAAAAATAGCAATAGAAGAGGCCGGGCGCAGTGGCTCATGCCTGTAATCCCAGCACTTTGTGAGGCTGAGGCGGAAACATCACGAGGTCTGGAGATCGAGACCATCCAGGCCAACACAATGAAACCCTATCTCTACTAAAATACAAAAAATTGGCGGGGCACGGTGGCTCAAACCTGTAATCCCAGAACTCTGGGAGGTTAAGGCGGGCAGATCAGCTGAGGTCAGGAGTTCGAGACCAACCTGGACAACATGAAGAAACCCTGTCTCTACTAAAAATAAAAAATTAGCCAGGTGTGGTGGCGCATGCCTGTAATCCCAGCTACTCCAGAGGCTGAGACAAGAGAATCACTTGAACCCAGGAGGCAGAGGTTGCAGTGAGCCAAGATCCTGCCATTGCACTCCAGTCTGGGCAACAAGAGAGAAACTCCATCTCAAAAATAAATAAATAAAATAAAATAAAATACAAAAACTTAGCCGGGCATGGTGGTACACGCCTATAGTTCCAGCTACTCGGTAGGCTGAGGCAGGAGAATCACCTGAACCCGGGAGGCAGAAGTCACAGTGAGCAGAGATCACAGCCTGGGCGAACAGTAAGACTCCATCTCAAAAACAAAAAAAAAACAAAAAAAACCTAATAGAATAGGATATAGTAATAGAATGAATGCCCGTGTTTTTTTTGTTCCTTTTTTTTTGAGACAGAGTTTCATTCTATCATTCAGGCTGGCTGGAATGCAGTGGCACAATCTCAGTCACTGCAACCTCCGCCTCCCAAATGCAAGTGATTCTCCTGCCTCAGCCTTCCCAGTAGCTGGAACTACAGGTGTGCACCACCACATCCAGCTAATTTTTGTATTTTTAGTAGAGACAGTGTTTCGCCATTTTGGCCAGGCTGGTCTCGAACTCCTGACCTCAGGTGTTCTGCCTGTCTTGGCCTCCTGAAGTAATGGGATTACAGGAGTAAGCCACCACACCCGGCCCCATGTGTTTTCAAGAAATCATTACAGGTAAGTGTCTCAAAAGAGTGAGTCATTACATGTAGAAAAGTGACTGCAATACATCAGTAATACTTAAAATACTTTATGGGAAAAAAAAAGACACCATATATTTAATTGAGGGAAGGAACATCAAGATGTATTAAGCAAATCTCATGGGTAAGTTAACACTATAAAATTACGTACCTCCTACGGCACAAAAAAAAAATGCCATTTTAGGAAAAGGAAACAGTGACACATTAACTGTGTTTAGGGATGATACACTCTGGTTTCACATATATCCTTTTAAAAATACCTTAAACCAGAAAATGCCCGGGCGTGGTGACTCACGCCTGTAATCCCAGCACTTTGGGAGGCTGAGGTTATCGGATCACTTGATGTCAGGAGTTCGAGACCAGACTGGTGAAACCTCATCCCTACTAAAAATACGAATATTAGCTGGATGTGGTGGAGACTGCCTGTAATCCTAGCTACTTGGGAGGATGAGGCAGTAGAATCACTTGAACCCGGGAGGTGGGGGTTGCAGTGAGCTGAGATTGCGCCACTGCACTCCACCCTGGGCAAAAAGAGTGAGACTTCATATCAAAAAAAATAAAAATAAAAAAAAAACCTGAGAAAATGGAAAAGGTGTTTAAATTTAAGTGGGAAAATAAAAAGCTAATGCAAGTCATATATCCAGTCTACTACAATTTATAGCTACTAAAGGCAGCTATTTTTTGGCACATAGCATGATGGATGTTGGAAATTATGCATAAAAATTCTACATGGAGACAATGCTCAAAGCTATTATACAAATCATAAGGAATTATGGCTGGGCACAGTGGCTCACCCCTGCAATCCCAGCACTTTGGGAAGCCAAGGCAGGTGAATCACTTGAACCTAGGAGGCGGAGTTTACAGTGAGCCGAGATTGTGCCACTGCAATCCAGCCTGCTCAACAAAGCAAGACTCTGTCTCAAAAAGAATTAAAAAACAGGCCGAAGTGGCTCATGCCTGTAATCCCAGCACTTTGGGAGGCCAAGGCAGGTGGATCACCTGAGGTCAGGAGTTCAAGACCAGCCATAACCAACACGGAGAAACCCCATCTCCACTAAAAATACAAAGATTAGCTGGGCGTGGTGGCGCATCCCTGTAATCCCAACTACTCGGGAGGCTGAGGCAGGAGAATCTCTTGAACTCCGGAGGTAGAGGTCGCGGTGAGCGGAGATCGTGTCACTGCACTCCGGCCTGGGCAATGAGAGTGAAACTCCATCTCACAAAAAAATCAATAAATAAAATTAAAAAAAAAAAAAGCAAGAAAAAAATCATAATTAATTATATTTCCCAGGAGAATTTTTTTTTTTTTGCCCCCACATCTGAGAAGCCAGAGTGAGAATTTTCATTCCTTATATTGACACTTCAATCATCACTAGTTTGATCTTTATTAAAAAGGAATGGTGCCAGGTTGGCTGGTCACTCTTGTAATTCCAACACTTCGGGAGGCAAAGGCAGCAGGATCACTTAAGGCCAGAAGTTCAAGGCCATCCTGGGCAACATAGTGAGACCCCACCTCTACAAAAAATTAAAAAATTAGCTAGGCAAGGTGGTACACACCTGTAGTCGCCACTACTCAAGAGGCTGAAGTGAGAGAATCACCTGAGCCCAGAAGATTGAAGCTGCAGTGAGCTATGATCGTACCACTGCTAGCCTGGGCAACAGAGAGAGACCTGGTCCCTAAAAAAATTTGAAAAATAAAAAGAGAATGGTTTCCACCATATTATAAATTAGTGAGTGGATGATTATTAGTTTATCAATACAAAATAATTTCCACGGTTGTATCTCTTTTTTTTTTCTTTGAGTCTCATTCTATTGCCCAGGCTGGAGTGCAGTGGCACAATCTCAGCTCACTGCAACCTCTGCCTCCTAGGTTCAAGTCATTCTCCCACTTCAGCCTCCTGAGTAGCTGGGATTATAGGCACCGGCCTTCATGCCCGGTTAATTTTTGTATTTTTAGTAGACAGGGTTTCACCATGTCAGCCAGGCTGGCTCTAACTCCTGACCTCAGGTGATCCACCCACCTTGGCCTCCCAAAGTGCTGCGATTACAGGTGTTGAGCCACCGCGCCCAGCCCACAGTTTTACCTCTTAAATTTACCTTATTATCTGGAGCCCCTGAAGTCTTATTTTCCTTTTGGACATGAATTCAGGAACAGTTCAATATACCTATGATCTGAGGATAATGAGAAAGATTAGTTTTAAAAAGTTGAAAAGGGAGATCAATTTTACAGCCATTTTTCTCACAGTTCAGACAACAATTCAAACGCCTTTCCTTTCCCTAATTAAAAACAAAATTTAGGCCGGGCGCGGTGGCTCACGCCTGTAATCCCAGCACTTTGGGAGGCCAAGGAGGGAGGAACACCTAAGGAGTTCGAGTCAGCCTGGCCAATATAGTGAAACCCCATCTCTACTAAAAATACAAAAATTAGCCAGTTTGGTGGCAGGTGCCTATAGTCCCAGCTACTCAGGAGGCTGTGGCAGGAGAATCATTTGAACCCAGGAGGCGGAGGTTGCAGTGAGCCCAGATCACACCACTGCACTACAGACTGGGTGACAGACAACACGCCGTCTCAAACAACAACAAACAAACAAAATGTAGAACGGACAAACAGGCTGGGTGCGGTGGCTCATGTCTGTAATCCCAGCACTTTGGGAGGTTGAGGCACGGGGATCATTTGAACCCAGGGGTTCGAGACCAGCCTGGCCAACATGGCGAAACCTGTCTCTACTAAAAATACAAAAATGAGTCAGGCACAGTGCTGGGCACCTGTAATCCCAGCTACTCAGATGGCTGAGGCAGGAGAATTGCTTGAACTCAGGAGGCGGAGACTGCGGTGAGCCGAGATGGCACCACTGCATTCCGGCGTGGTTGACAAAAAAAAAAAGAAAGAAAGAAATTTGCAGGATAATTAGCAGACAAATAAATGTTTTTTAAATTATAGTGTTTTTATCTGTTACGTTTAATTTACTAGTACTAAAAGAATACAAATTTTCCAAGGAAAAATTCTACAATCCCAAAACAGAAAGAGATACTTATAAGCAAAGACAAGCATCAAAAATGACAACGAAAGCCAAAGGCAGGACTTACGAACGTGGGACCGATCCTTGAGCATTGCTGCAACAGCATCCTCATGGGTCTCAAAGTGCACATCAGCTTCTCCAGTGGCCTTCCCGCTGGAGCTGTATTCCATGGTGATTCTAACAGGCTTGAGTGGAGCGAAAAACTAAACGACAAAGGCAGTCAAGAGGAACATGATGGACGTAAGTAAACCCGCCTAGAAGTCTGGTGGTTCATCTTTCTTTCAGACTTTGATTCATACACTTGATACATTTGTTTTTAGGAAATTCCTTTTTTAAGTAGTAACATATTTATACATCTAGTATGTCTTCTGGCTTTTCTACTTTTTCTCAGAACTCAAAGTGACATTTAAAGTACCTGCTCTCAGCGAGCACAGTGCCTCGGACCTGTAACCTCAACACTTTGGGAGGCCAAGACGAGTGGATCATTTGAGGTCAGGAGATCAAGACCAGCGTGGCCAACACGGTGAAACCCCATCTCTACTGAAAATACACAAATTAACCAGGCATGGTGGCACGTGCCTGTAATCCCAGCTACTCGGGAAACTGAGGCGGGACAAATGCTCGAACCCGGGAGGCAGAAGTTGCAGTGAGCCAAGTTCAAGCCACTGCACTCCAGCCTGGGCAACACGGCAAGACTCTGTCACAAAA